TCGCTAGTGTCATGCCCGTATAGTTGATGGAAAGTGCAAAATCTTGCTCCTGGCAAGGGCCTGTTTGGCCTCTTTTTCTTCTTCTTGCTATTGTCGGTCCTTCCAGATGGTCCTACCTCAGCGGGTGCGTTGTCATATGCCAACACCAGCACTGCATTCAATGTGGCGGAAGCTAGGGCCTATCCAGACGTGGGAGCTATGGTATATCCTGCCTGGGTCCATTGCTGAGTAACAAGGTGCGCTGCGGGGCCTCAACCTACCTGCCTCTGTGGGGGAGGGAGTCCCTGCGCGGCACGGTTGCGATGATCAATCATTTCTTCACTAACAATTTCCACCCTCATCATCTCCACAAGCTCGTCGTATGTGGAGGGATTCTTGCTGTGCACGTCCTTCCAAAACAAAGTGTTCATGTTGAGACCACCTTTCAGGGCTGAAAGGGCTTCCCTGTCAGTGACCTGCTCGCAGTAAGTAATCTCGTCTGTAAACCTGGCGAGATAGCTTTTCAGCGTCTCTCCAGGGGCTTGCCTCATGTCTTGCAGGCGTTGGATTGGCGCCTCTCCTTCCCTGCGTGAGAGGTACTGATTCAAAAATGCTTTCTTCAAGTCCAGTCAACTTCGGATACTTAGGGGAGGAAGCCTGCTGTACCACACCTCGGCGGCTCCGCCTAGTGTTAAATGGAAGGCTCTGCACTTTAGAGCAGGTGAGGCTTCCCTAAGACTCATTTGTGTCATATACTTTGTGAGGTGCTTCACCGGATCCCCTTTTCCCTCATACTTGGGGATCTTAGGGGGCGTGAAGTTAGTTGGCATTGGGAAGCTTCGGATTTCCCTTGAGAAAGGGAGGTTATCGTCATCGTCGTCAATCTCGTAAGATCGACAGGGCCCCTCTGATCCTTCATCATCTTGGATGTCTTGGGGTGGAGGAGGTGCTTTTCCCCGGCTCCCCCAATCGACTAAGTTTCTCCTCTCCCTCCTATTTCTAGGAGGAGGGGGAACATGCTCTTCTTCGTGGTCTGACCGAACCGACCCTCTTGAAGGGCGGACCCTATTGCTAGGATCGTTCCCTATCCGGTCGAAGACGCTCACTGACCTCTGGTCATCGTCTTCTTGAGGAAACTTGTCCCCCAAGAGTGGTTCTGATGGGTGACTCTCCTGCACATAAGATGTCGCTTCGGTGTTCCCCTCTCTTTCGAGAAGACGTTCTGTGTGCCGGCTCATGTGGCCTCGAGAGTGAGACAAAGGGATTTCCTATACCGGATAAGATCCTTGGGGCCTCTGATGTCCTTGGGCTTGAATGAGAAGTTCCCGCATCGCCATATTCTGAGCTGCTATGTCTCTCATACCCGCTGCTATCTGGGCCATTCCTTCAGTGAGTATGGCTGTTCTTTCGCCTCGTCGACGCCGGTGATGCGGTCTCTGATGAGTAACATTGTTATGGAGTACCTCTTCTTCAGAGGCCTCTCTCATGGGATTGTCTTCACGGCTGTAGCTCATCCTACATCTTCTTTCAAGGATAGTAAGAACTTGGATTGTAATCCGACTTTTGTTCTTTTTCAAGAATGCCCCCTTTTCAGGGTCAGTCGCCGGTTTTTTCGGTGTCTTCTCCGATGGGGAATGTAAAACTTCGAAGGGGGAATGAGTTTCCCACAGACGGCGCCAGACTGTTGACCTCCAAAAATGGCTCCTCCACGTGGCCAACTTATAGCCACTCCACGTATTCCTCCTTGCGAAATGAACAAATGGTCAGGCGCACACGATCGGAACCGACGAGGGGGGTGGCGGCCGTATACACTCCGACGGTCAAGTCAGGTTTGGGTGGTCGGAACAGTGCCCTGGGGCTACACAAAATCAATCAATAAAGGGGAAGGAGAATATATAAACTTGTTATGGAATGCTATGTATTGAGAGTTTCATTACCTTTGCCTCTTGCCAAACTTTGGGTATTTATAGGTGGTATGGACCGTGGGATGTGGAACACGTGTATACATCTGACGGTATGAAGCGTCTACTCATAGGCGTCAATCAGCCGCGCTTGTAGAGTGGGCGAACAGTTTGTTTTCCCCCGACTTGAATTGACATAAAGTTGATAAGTCACATCAAATAGCCTCATGGGGACGTCAAATCAATTTAAACCCTAGATGCAGGACAAATCTTAAATTGGCGGCGGATCTTCTAACCGGGGTCCACCTGATCCCGACCTCGGAGGTGGGATACTTCGGAAGATCAGTAGTAGGAATCGATGTATCACTTCGGAGAAGCTTCGGGAGGGTCGGAGTGGTCCACTTGATCTTGGCTTCGGTGGTGAGATGACACTTCGGTATCGAGGCTCGTACAATCGAGGCGTAACAATTATCATTACCAATGGAAAATTCGTTGCTAATTATCGTAGTTCAAAGTGAATTACTTTTATCAACGGATAATCCGTTTCTAATTACTAACGGATACAATATGTTGGTAATATTTTGGTACGTCACCTACAGAATATCCATACGTGAAAGATTCAAATGTTAAACGGTTACATTAGGCACGAAACATCCGTTGGTAAAAGGATATCATTGTTACCAACGAAAAATTCGTTGCTGATTATCGTAGTTGAAAGTGAATTACTTTTACCAACGGACAATCCGTTTCTGCATCCGTTGGTAATTTTCAGTAGGTGAAAAGTTGTTTTTTAGTAGTTTCGTCTCTCTCAAAAATGAATTGGACTTTGGGGAAAATTAGTCCCAAGTTTTGAATTGATTTTGATAATTGGGATAGATTTCTGCCCAACTAAAAAAGCTTAAATATTGAAAAATGAATTTGTCATTTTATCGTTTCATTTTCAATTTTGAGGTTACATTTTCCATTGCTTAGCCTATATGCTATTAATAGATTCGGACAGCGAATATTGAATTTTTAAACTCAACTTTATGGTAATAAGCTAAATGTGAACAAACTCAAGTTAGACTTTTCAGGTTTAATTTAATTTGATGCAGAATAATAAAATTAATTCAAGTGCATGCGCAAAAAGAATTGCAATTAACAGAATTCTTTTACTTATCACATGTGAAAAATGCTACAAGTACAGATTTTTAAGAGATTTTATACAGAAAATACAGGTGTCTCACAGGGATTGACTACTGTCAAAAACAGTTTTTGGCAACTGTAAATCATTTTTTTTATAACTGTGGGTGTCCGAGCCAGTTCACGCGCACCTCGACTAATTCCACAGAGCCCTGAAATTTACAGCAGGATACTCACATCAGTGACCCTGAGGAGACTCGAATTGATGACCATTAGGGAGAAAATCCAAAACCTAACCATTGAGCTACCCCTGAGGATTACCTTAAATCATAGGGAGACCTCTATATAAAATCTGGTAACAAAATATGTACCTACAGAATAATTCATCACATGTACCTTTTAGTCTTCTTCAGCACATTCAAGAAAGTTGACAAATTATATTTCAATACAATTGACGTCAGTTGCGAATGATGTCATCCTATCCGCTAATTAAAAGTTGGTTTACTGAATTTTCAAAATTTTAGTCTTTAAAATGATCAATAATGGCTTAAGCCCTAGGAAATATAAGCTACTGGATGAAAATCTTCCTATATAATTAATATGGTGTAATGACCGTAGCAGGGCGAAGTTCAGTTGAAATTCAAGAGCTCCCTGATCACTGTTAATGGAATTGATGATAGAACTTATTTGGCAAAACTTACATTAATTTGCTATGTAGATCTTTTTAGTCTAGGGGGCTGCCAGCCCTTTGCAAGTATCAAAGGCTACATTTCACAAGCCCACAAAAAACATGCCAAGGCCCAGGCCCAGGTCCAGTGATATGAACCCATGTAGTAATAGTAGCTCTGAAATTTACAAAAGATTGAATCACAATCCCAAGAAAACTTAAATTTCGGTTTGAAGTTTGACCCAATAATTTATTGAACCAAAAAACCAAGATAATCGCCAACAATATCTTGACCCACGAACTTTACTATGAATTTGTTGAACGCCACAAAGAATGTAAATTTTTGATAAGTTCGGATAATTTGAATGCCATGAATATCAAGAATATTCTATTCAATTAAGAATAAGATATGAAGTGAAAATTTTCATATTATGATTAATTCTAAAAAATAACAAAACTCTAATTATAAAGATAAATTCAAATAAACTACAAAACAAATTTGAATAAAACTAAAATACTACAAATAACAAAAATAACGTTAAAATAATTCAAAACATAAAAATGGAAAAATGAACCTCTAAACAACCGATTTTGACCCCAAAGTTTGACATAGTCATCCAACAAACTTTTGCAGGATCAAAAAATGTTTTCAAATTGTACCCATGGGCAAAAATTCGACTACCGAACAGAAAGTAATACTCATTTTTGTACATCATTTACGTTTTTGCACATACTTCATATTCTTTCCATTTTTTAATTGGTTTAGAATCTTCTTTTCTAATTGATTCGTATCAATCCAGAACACGCAATGAATCCTTATTAGCTTGCTCACCCAAAGCACCCAATCCCAACTTTGACATTGAAGTTCTTTCTGTCAACATTGTCATTGTTGGACCATTGATCCTAATTAGCAACGCCTCTAGAACCTAACAACACAACACAAATATCATCGTTTCAAAAGTCAAATTCCTATTTTCAAAATTTCTAGAAAATTAGAATCTTGTTCATTTTGGCAAATTTATTGTATATCCTATGTGCTACAAATTAGATTATAAGATTCATGTATTTCTCTGACAAAATTATTACGACACTTTAGTAAAGAAAACGTCGGTGAAATGTAATGTAAACCTACATCATTTGTAATTGAGATTAATTAAGAAACAATAACTAATGAGATGGGTTGTCATGTTTAATGGTAGGTGACTAAACAACCAACTTGTGCTCACTTGTATCTTTATCCTAGTTTTCAACAACTTAATTACTCATTTTCCTTCAATGCCAAGAAATAAATTATTACACAGGAACAATGTACTTTATCATAATGTCAGAACTCAGTAAAATTTGTAACTTATAATTATAACTTGTGAAAATGATTAGGTAAAAAGAACATGAAACATAGAAGTAGTTATTACTTTTGAGAAATCTGCAAATAATTAATGAATCTGTACACTTTCCTCTGCGTGTTTTTCATGGGAAATTAACCAAGAAATGTGCAGGATCATCAGCTAGAGAGTAGGCTCAGTAGTAGCTCGTGCTCAAGGCTGCTGGTTCCTCTCCACCAAGGCTTCAACCTGAGTCGATCGTTATCGAGATCTTCTTCGACAGGTGCAGGCAAGTTGAGATCGAGAAAATCTCGAATTGGTTCTTGTTTTTCGATTACAATAGATGGATTGGATTTCGCCTCGCGAATTAAGTGTGATCTCTTGTGGCCACCTAAGGCTTGGCCTGATGCGAAAACTTTAAAGCAAATCGGGCATTCGTGATCCTTAGAATTATTCTTGAACCTGATTTCTGATTCTGCCTTCATTGCAAAAATATCGATCATGAGTTTATCATTGGCAGTTTGATTTGGTGAAATTTGATCAGAATTGAGGATGTCTTCGCCGTTTGGAGTGCAGCAGCCTTTGAACTTCTTTTGGCTAGCTCTATGGCCTCCAAGTGCTTGATAAGAAGAAAAGGCCTTGTGGCAAGTTGTGCACTCAAATTTTGGTTTTTTCTCACAGAATAAATAATCAGAAGTACCAAAATAAGCAACTTTTTCTTGGAAATTCTCTGGCACACTCAACTGAGGATCATATAAACCAATGCACTTTCTCTTGCTTAACTTGTTCTTCTTATTAGAATCTATCTCAAACTTTTCCGATTCGCTTTTCTTGATCAATTTCTTGGGCGAGTTAACTTCGGACTCGTTATCAAGATTCTTTTTCTCAAGAAACCCACATGCGGAAACATGAGATTTGCTCATTTTGAGGCCATTTATTGGAATAACAGGAGTTTTGAATCCGAAATCTTCCTCATCAGACTTGGATTTCTTTGATTTCAGTAGAGAAATTTTGCTCGACTCTAAAAAGTTAGAATTATTTTCAGAGGATTGATCAAGAACAGAATCCATAATACTCCAATTCGAAACATCCCTTGAAAGCATAATTAAACTAATGGCAACCTCTTCTTGTTCTTGCTGATCAATCTCAGAAATGCAGGATGACAAATTAGCAGCAATAGTACTTAAAGAAGATGAAGTGTTGTACCTTTTGATCATTCTATCCGATCTCTTTCTCCTGCACGGAGTCAAGCCTTCATTATCCGATTCGCTATCCAAATCCGGCTTCAGATGATCATTCGAACCATTCCAAGATTCCTCGTCGACGCTAGAAATGTTCCTTCCATTTACAGAGTGACACTTCATGTGACCAAACAAAGCTCTCCAAGATTGGAATCCTTTTCCACATTCTTTACAAATCCTGTCCTTAAACAAACTATCCTTCTCGTCGTTTGATGACTTCGAGAGCTCGTTCTTCTTCTTTGGATTCTCCTGAAGTTCGTAAACATTTTCGGAGTTACTTTTCGAATTGGCAAGAGGTGGAAGCTTCTTTTTTTTAATCAATTTCTCATCAGATGAAATATTGATCAAATGAGACCTCATGTGGCCTCCTAAGGATCTTCCGGAGGGAAAGCTTTTGCTACAAAACTTGCACATATGTTTTTGACCCTGATCTTCCTCCATTGAATCTGTCGATCAAATCAAAATCCAACAAACTAAGATCAGAGAATGATCAAGAAAGAGATTATCTCATGAAGCCGAAATCGAAACCGAATTCCGGGATTTCAGATTCTTGAATTTTAGGTGGAGTGTTAAAAGATCTGATGAACAAGAAAAGCAAAGGCAAAGAGCTCTCTTTGTTTTCCTCTCTAATTTCTCTTCTATTACTAGTAGAAGTAGCTATAAAGTAGTTGAAACTTGAAGAAATTAAAAGAAGGGGACAGTTAGCTTTGTAGCTAAAGACGGCTATGAACAAAGCCAAATCAAGGAAGGAAAAAAAAATTAAAATTAGGGATAGAGAGAGAAGTTTTTCTCTGCTGAAAATTTTGGTGGAGAATTCCATGCATATAAGCAAAGATAAAAGGAAGGTAAAAGCTAGCATAGTAGCATGTGTCCAAATAAAGAATCTCACACCAACTAGCGAAGGTGACATACAAAAAGTTGGAGATAGTAGATCTGGACAAGAGTTGTCACAAATAAGTAGTTCGAGCATTAAATTTAGTGAAATATTCTTTACTTTGTTCAGGTAATAAGTAAATCCCCATTGCCAAATGAAAGATAGTTTGTGTTACAGATAAGAGGACCAGATCTGAGCTCAATTAAATGAGCTGCGACCCTACGACAAATAAAAAGTTTGAGTGTTAAATTCAACGAAACATTCTCTACTTTGTCCTGATATTAAGTAAACCCACATTCTAAAGTGAAAGATACCTCGTGTTAAGAGGACATTGAGTTCGGACAATAGATCGATTAGAGATCAACACAAGGAGTTGCAACAAATTGAAAGGTGGAGTGTTAAATTTAGTGAAAAATTCTTTGACTTATCTTGACATTAAGACAAGTCACACTACCAAAATTTTGTAATTTATATAGGTATTATGTAAACTTACGTATCCAAGTGAAAGATAGTTCATGTTATAGCTAAGAGAACATTAAGTTTAAAAAAAAAAAAAAAATCGATCTAAGACATATAAAAGGAGCTGCAATAAATGGAAACTTTGAGTGTTGAACTTAGTGAAAAGTTCTATACTTCATCTTGGTATCAAATAAACGGTAAACCCATATTTCCAAGTGAAAGATAGTTCAATTTTATGGTAAAGAGGATAGTAAGTTAAGAGAAATAGATTAGAATTTGATAAAAGGAGTTGCGACAAATCAAAAGTCTAAGCATTAAATTTAGTAAAAATTCTTTACTTTGTCTAGGTATTAACAAAGCCAAATTGTCAAGTGAAAGATAATTCATTTTACTGCTAAGAGAACTGTAAGATCAAAAGTTTGAGTATTTAATTTAATGAAAAATTGTTTACTTTATTTTGGAATTAAGGAAATCCACATTACTAAGTGGAATTCATTCGTGTTACATGAGACAATAGTAACTTCAGAGTAGTAGATGTAGTGGAATTCATTTGTGTTACATGGGACAATAGTAGGTTCACAATAGTAGATGTCGGGCTCAACTAAAAGAACTGTCAAAAATTAAGGTAGTGGTTGGTTTGCATTTTTATTTTTCATTTTCATTTTCAAAACGATTTTTTGTTTTCCCCGAAAACGACACATTTTTCGCGTTTTGAGCATTTTCGACATTTATAACTGAAAATGTTGAAAACGATAAAAAGTCGTTTTGGGTTTTCAGTTATAAATTTTAACTCGTTTTCAAAAATGCGTTTTCGAAAACGATGGGCCAAATGTGTTTTCGAAAACGAAAAACGAAAAATGGGCCGAAAACGGCAAACCAACCACGGCCTAAAAGTTTGAGCACTATTTTAATGAAAAATTCTTTACTTTGTCTAGCTATTAACTATTAATTTTGATAATCATGCTACACATATTGATTCAAAAACATGTAGGATATGTGTCGACGCGTAATTGGATAGTTTGAAAAATTAAAACAAAAAACACTAATTATTTATTGTCAAATCAGTCTGCCTCCTTCGTTTTTATTTTTAAGCTTGATTAAGTGTCTTTATTCTAATTTTGAGCACTCTCCGGCCATTATTTTTTCTGAACTTTTTCTTTATTATATTATATAAATATATTGCGTGTGTGGGGTACGGGGGTACGGTTGCGGGGTGTTGAAATCTGAAATCGAAGATCCCCAAGTTGTCCTTACTACTGTTGACAAATAAAAGCATGCGACGCTACTCCATTGAATTTTATTGGGTAAATCTCCAAAAGAGAGAATAATTATTGGGTCTTCAATTCGGGGATGATGAAGTAAATATTGTTTTTTACTTTTAAATATTTGACACCTCAACAACTTAGGTTCTTTTTGGGCCCCATCTTTTGGGAAATAACTTTGGTAATAATGATTTTTTTGGACACGTATGGTTAAAAAGAAAAAAGAAAATTGAATTTATGGTAAAATTATAATGTATTATAAAAAATGAGTCTAAAAAACAAAATAAATTTAAGATAATGAGGTTTAATGATTCGTGAAATTTTTTTTTAGAGAGACAATAGATCTGAACTCTCAGTAAATGGTAATATAATGAAATGGATTGTTATTTTTTCGAAAAAGATGACTGTTTATCGCTTTTTACTTCCATCGTGAATCACGTAAAAGATATAGTTTATAACGAATAATGACAAGAAAAATCAATCTTCAACCAAGAGTTACATCTAAGAATCAAACAATATAAATAGTAATAGTACGGCTGTCAAGGAATTGAAAACGCATTTAGCAAGCACCTCTTCTTAAAGCTCAATCCTTTTAGAAAAAACCAAAACTCTATCTCGACTAAGTGCCAGCCACAAAAAGGGTTGTCCTAATCTACCATATTTTAAAAAGTAAGATTAATTGAAACTTCAAAAGCTACGAAATTTTTAGTTAAAATAAAATTCAACTCGACGCTTCTGGTCGGTTTGATTCCCAATTTTTTATGAATGAGAATAAAAAATATAATCGTTACGAGACTCACACAAGAGATAGAAAGTCAAATATGGTGATTTGATGTAATGAATAACGATCATATTTTTCATTTTTGTGGTCAAAGAATGAGAACCAAACGGGGGCTAAATGAAATTTTGTAAAGATCATTACTAAAAACACTTAGCGCTACTATAATTTTAATTGAAAAAGAAAAGAAAAAAAAAAGAGAGAATCGTAAAGTCTTACGATAGTTAATTCATTCCTAAATAACTCCAAATGCCACTAAATATAGCATTATATACCATTCTTCACTAATTAAACAAAAATATTATTGTTTAAACCCCAATTTGTAGATGCTGTCTGGGATTAAAGAATAATAATAATAATTGATGGAGGAAATAGGATTCTAGTAGCAGGCTGGCTTTAGCTGAAATGAACACTGATTGAGCGGGCCGGCCGGCTTTTGCTCACAACCAGGCCGGCCAGCTCCCACTGGCCACTGCTGTTATTATTCCTTCGTCGACGCACTATTAGATGGCATTCTCATTTTAAGATTTAGCTGTAAATTATATATTTTTATAATGACTTGTATTTTAAACTAAACGGTCTAGCTTGCAACACACTTAAATACGTACAATTTTACTATCAGTATTAGATCTATCGGAAGAGTTCAACGAATAAAACATTAATCTCATTTTTATATCATATAATGTTGTCTAATATTCTTTAATTTACTTTGCTAAACATGTGAGAGCAAATAATTAAAATCTTATCAATTATCTTACATAGTAAAATTTAATGTTGCATAACAATCATATCATTTTGGCATGTTCACTAGAAAGAATTGGACATTGGAAGAAGTCTTTCAAAGACGCGGGTTTGTATACCAAACAAAAAATAAAAGAAATAAGTGGCATGACCTACCCAAGCAACTAGGCCAAGGCTAGATGAAACTATTTCAACAAGAAATATTCTTTGCATCACTGAAGAGATACATTTTGTCACGCTGTTCATGTGACTCATATAAAGTGGAACATAGTTTTACAGAATCAAATTGGTTGATATTGGAGCGGAGCAAGGCCTTGCGTGTTTTAATTTATTGTTTGTTTGCTGAGGACATCGAATAGGTTGGGTGCCCCGTAGTACAGTACAGGAATATTTTCTTGTACGGGCCATAAAGTTTTGTATGGACATAGGTTAGGGTAGTACAAATACCGATAATGTAATCTTATTATTCATATTGAATAAAAATCTCCAATTTGCTCTTGTGGATATAAGCACATCGTTGAATCACGTTAAATACTTGTATTGATTTCTCTATTTCACTTCTCTATTATTGAATATAGAATCCAAGATCTGGTATCAGATCTCCAGGTCTAGATGGCGAGCTCTTTGATTGCAAAATTTGATGCGATGAAATTCGCTGAAACTAGGAATTTCGAATTATTGCAGCGAAGGGTGAATGATTTATTGGCGTAGCAATGGATGGTGAAATTGTTATCTAAGAAGAAGCCATCGGGTAAGTTAGATACCGATTAGGAAGGGCTTGAGGCGCGAGCAATGGGTACAATTATGCTTTGTTTGATGGACGAGATCATGTATCTTGTCATGGACGTTGAGTTTTTTATGGAGGTTTGGCAAAAATTGGAGTCATTATATATCAAATTCTCTCACGAACAAGTTACATCTGAAGTAGCGATTGTACGGGCTTAAGATGCTGGAGGATACAGATCTAATTCAACATGTTAATGTGTTCAATCAAATTATCATCAATTTGTTGCGACTTAAAATCAATTTTGATGTTGAAGATAAGCAATAATATTGTTGTGCTCTCTTCCTCCTTCGTATGACCACCTAGTGACCACGTTGACATGAGGATAAAGTGGCTTTCAAATTGGAGGAAGTCACAGCAGCCCTGTTGGCCTATAACAAGCAGAAAAGAACCTAATTGGAGGAATTCACATTAGATCTCGAATTGGAGAAAGTCACATCAGTCCTGTTGGCTCTCGGTGATAACTTTGGAGGATGTTAGGCATGTATCAGAGTGAGAAAGAACCTAATTTCTTTAGGTATTTTAAACACCAGTGGCTATTCTTGTAAGTTAGAATGTGGAGCTTTGACAGTGAAAAAAGCGCTGTGATTGTACAAATGTAGGTGGAGTTGCTATAGTAGAATATAAGTCAGATAACACTCTTCTATGACAAATGCGACTGGGGCACATGGGAGAATGTTGTATGATTGAGCTTTCATAAGAGGAATTTGTTGAAGGGAGTAAAATCATACAAGCTGGATTTCGGGAAAGTACAAGACAAAAGACATTCTTGATTATGTGTAGTTTGATGTTTGGGGACCAGTAAGGGAGTTGTCTAAAGGTGGATATCAATATTTCATTACTTACATTGATGATTTCTGTAGAAAAAGTCTGGATATATTTTATGAAGCACAAGTTTGAAGCCTTTG